CTCCCCAAGTGCAGAGGGATTGCTGTGGCTGAATGTAACCTGATGGCTTGTCAGTGGAGGAGCTGAAAGCTGACCCTGGGAGATAGTAAGAGACCACTCTACTGCAGAGCATAATCCTATGCCTGGGGGTATTACATTGGCAGGCTGGGGCTGAGACGCCGCATTTGTTAAGCGAAGCATACAATAAACCCAAATGCAGAGACCAAACAGAGATAAACTATTCCTAGGGTAATCCGCTCTGCGAGATTCCATTCCGCAGGAGTCACAGTCACTAGTCCAATTCCCAATGCTCCTGCGCAGGTGCCAATTAAAGTCAGGTACCCTGCGGAACAATGGTCCATTCCTTGGTGTCTTCTTTACTGGCTGGTGTCCTCCAGTGCCTTAGCATGGGTATTCTAGGTGCAGGCCTAGTCCTCGGGTCCTCGGGATCTGCTGCTATTTTGGCCCGGCTGTAGTGGATTCAAGGGGTGATTCCTGCAACCTAGGCAATGCTAGCAGCAGCAAGTCTGTCCAGGGCAGTCCAGTTTCCTGGTAGAATTTAGCTAAGGTTCCATGTTCCGCCCGCGCCCCTGATCATACTCTGAGTACTTCCGACAAGGCTGGTTGCTGAGTGCTGCACTGGGTGACGCACCAGAACCCTGAGGGAGCTCATAGCCTGCTGGGGCAGGTGAACCTGAGGGAGCACCGTGAAGGGCCATGACAGAGGACTATGTGGATGGCTGTGGGGGCACTTCAGATACACAGCGCATGCCCTCTGCAACTCAACAGGAAGAGCAGGAGTGTGTTCAGGATGTGCTTCTGGTGTTCTTTCCTTAATTCAGCCAGGCGCTTCAGCAGCATGTGCGTTCCCTCCCAGCACTGTTCCTGGGATGGGGCCACCAGGAGGAGGTTGTCCACGTACTGCAGAATCGTCAGGTCCAGCCCCCCCTTAGCGAGGGGCTTCAGGTCTCCTGCTAGGGCTTCCCCAAAGAAGGTTGGGGAGTTCTTAAACCCCTGGGGAAGTCTAGTCCAGGTCAACTGAGTCTTGACCACTGTGTGTGGATCTTTCCATTTGAAGGCAAAAATGGGTTGGCTGGAAGGTGCCACAGGAATGCAGGAGAAGGCATCCTTCAGATTAAGGCAGGTAAACCACATTGCTGTTGGGGGAAGCTGGCTCAGGAGGATGTACGGGTTTGGGACAACCGGGTGGAGGGTGACAGCTGCTTTGTTGACGGCCCGCAGATTGTGGACGGGCTGGTACCCGCTCCCGTCTGGCTGCCATCATGGGTCTGGGCAGGTGTGGCCCCATGTTATGCAGCCAATCCTCTCTGAGCTCCCATGCAGGTGCTGCAACTCAGGGAGACCTGCCTCTCAGTCATATCTTGGGCGGGGAGGGTCTTTTTTTTTCCTCCCTGGCCCAGAGCATGGCCACAGCCATTCAGCATATCTAACTGACCAGCCGAAGGCCATAGGTGTGTCAAATGACTATGCCATGGATTAACTGCAAAGCTGTTGCTATACAAAACAGCCCTGCATGTTCTTGCTCCGTGTGTCCCTCCCCCAACTCACACCTGTGGGGGAAGGGGTGAAGACATCTCAAAATCTCCTGGACGCCTTGAGTTCTGGACCCCACCCCAAATGCCCATTTGGGGTCCCCTGTCTTGGCTGCACCCTGTAACAATCTGTCATTTCAGATATACACCCACTTTAAATTCTTTTAAAGGACAATGGACGAAGATCTTATCTTCTTGTAACTACTTCTGGCTGGAAATGGACATTGTCCTACCTACCTGTGGGTCAGGGGTGCCCTGAAGGGGACGGGTGCAGCACAGAGGGAGTCCTTCTTGTAAGGGGAAGGGCCTTACAGAATCCTGGTCAGTTGGCTATCACCAGAAAGTCGCAGGCTTGGTGTCCAAAGACTGACATTACTGGACCATTGGCATCCTGGTCATATTCTGGAGATGACAGATTTGGACAGAGTTGGAAGGCACAATGAAATCATAACCACTAAATGACAAAGTCAGGGGCTTAGGTAAAGAATGGCTTATCTAGAGAAAGGTGTACAAGGTATGCTACACCTATCCAAAACTCTTGTGGCCCATTATATTTCACTCGGGCTGAGGGGAATATATTAGGATTTCCCTCCTTTCAGATTTCTGAACCCTTCCTGTTCAAGCCATCAAGACAGAAAAGGGAAAATCAGTTCTAAAGTGAAGCCCACAGATGGCCCGAACCTTTCACCAACCCAACCACTTAGTTTAGCCAAACTGTTGAGTTTCAGGGGGCGATGATGAAGAATGGGCTCCTTAAGTGAGGCCTATATCGCAACGAATCACTCAGGTAATGAAGTCATAGGCATACGTCCTATGAAAACAGAAGAACACACAGGTTAATTCACACAATAGTCCCCAAACCAGTCTCTGTGCCTGTGAGACTGTCTTTTGGGAAGACATTCAGTTGCAAGGTCTTTCCTGCAATGACATTTAGCAATGGCAATTTGACAGGTTCTCTATACCTGTAAATTGTACATCTTTGATGATCTTACAAAACCAGTTTCAACTTTCAAACGAAAAGATACTTTCAAGATAGTTAGCTGCATCATTCTGATGTCCAATACTGAGCACTGTGATTTTCCTTGAACCACAATTTTTCTCCTTAAGATCACCCTCACTGTTATTAAAGGGACTACTTTGAGTTCCACTTTTCATTTTGACTGTTCATTTGCATAAACACACCAAGAGCAGCCTGGATCACTTATGATCTTTAATTCCACTTTGCTGGAACTCACATAGGGAACCTTTAGATTGACTTCTAAGTCTGCCCCTTGGGGCACAGAAGCTGAGCCACACATCCGCCATCTGGCTTCCCCTGTACCAGTTGTTTCACTCAAATCCTTGAGGCTTCCATTGTGCCCACAGGTTTCTTTTTGGCCATCTTTCATGAAAGCAACCTTTGTTCCTTCCCTGGAAAGGCTTCCATGAACCGCACAACCAACCAAAGTACCAGGCTTTTCTCGTGGGTTTACATTAGTTTCGCAAGTCAATCCCAGTTCCTCAGGGCTTTCTGGTGACGACCAGAACCCATACATGCCTCCTTCAGATGTGACATTCCAGTTAAAATCTTGGTTAACAAAACCACTATTAATGACTGGTCTTATTGTTTTTATGCAAAGAAACCTTATATTATTGCTCACTCCTTCAGAATGCCAAATTCTGGAGGGATCAGGTAGGGAGAAAAATACAAAGCGTGAAGGAAAATCTTTCCCTTCTGATATCCACTGAGCTCAAAACCTTTACTTCCAGACATTCTGCAATACTCACAAACCCTCTATTCTTTCTTTCATACAGCTTCTGATATCCACCAAGATTGCATCTCCATGCCTTATACCTTCTATTATTAACTAACACCAAGTAATACCTTCCTAAAACTTTTACTTTTCCATTTATTTTTTGCGGTTTCCCATAGACCTTATTCATTTATATATATTTTATATATATATTTTATTTTATTTTATTTTATTTTATTTATTTATTTTTTTTATTAATCATTGTTCATATACAGTTTTCTCCTTTTTACTCCCAATCCAGTTCCCCCTCCCACCCTCCCCCCTTCCTATATATATTATATTTTTTATTTACTTTCCTACAGAGTGTGAAGTTTCAACCTTCCCTGGAATCCTCAATTTCCTTTTTAGAGCAGATACAGAGCAAAATCCAAAACACAGAGTTCCAGAACAATACACAGGTAGGGGCATTCTCTTGCACCAATGCGTCCATCGGTGCCTCGCAGAGACATGCTCCTTCAGGCCCGGTATTTTGGCAGAGACATGCTGCTTTGCCTCTGGCTAAAGCACTCATCAGCCCCAAATGACCCTTCCTGGGTCCCGAGTGGCAAAGGCGTCTCCCCAACCGGTTACAGGAGACCTTCCCCTAGGTCTTACAGGTGACCTTAAACAGGTCTTCAAATACAGAGGGTTTCTGGTCAGAAACAACACCAATGTTAGAAATTCGCTGTTTTCCCACAAAACCAGAAAACAAATAGTTGAGGCTTCCTTTACTCCAGGTTTAAAACTTTTACATTCTTTATACATAATTTTACTCATTCAGATTTAACCATCATTCTCTTTTAATCCTGGTTCCTTTCCCACTCTGGGAAGGACTATACTTAAACTCAGCATGTGGCAGCCAAAAGTCCCCGGCACTGCAGGTACCTTCCACTAAAATTCCCTAGATTTTGCAGGGACATCCTGCAGCTTTTCTGAAGCTCAGACCCTGCAAACACCCTATAGGTCAGATGTTCACCCTTGGACCTCAGTTCATGTCCTTCAGAACCAGAGCCATTCTCATCAGAACCAGTTACACAGAGAACCAGACTGATGCAGTGCCCACACAGCAGCGGCACACAGCCCATAATCTGAAGAGAGCCCTTAGTCTGGCACCTTGCCCAGTTCCAAGATGGAGGGGCTCTCACGTGACCCGTCATCCAAGATGAGGACAACCATGCACGCTCCACCCTCCATGGCGGGGCACTCACATGGCTCATCTTCCATTTTACCCAAAATGGCGCTTACCCACATGGCTTGCTGTCCCATCTCCAACATACATGCAATATAGTACTGTGGCAGGACCGCCTCCCCCCACCCCCCATGATGAATTCTCCCTATCGGCGCTGACAGACATGGGAAGGGACTCTCAGGTCGCCTGCCTGGCCTCTCCCCTCTCGGGGCACTTAGGGTGCATCTTAGCTAAGGCTGCCCGTGTAGAATTCGGGTTAAACTCCCAGCTGTTATGCCGTATGACAGACTGAGGAACCGCAGGTTAGGGCTCACTCACGCTCCGTAGGCTTCCACCCGTGGAGCAACAAACACAGTCATTCACACAAACACACCGAGTTTATTACGTTCCCACCCGCCCGAGCTGTGGGAGCCCTGCCTGGGCCTTCCGGCCTGAGGGGTGGTCAGTCTCTCCTTCCACTCCAAGAGTGGTCCTTGTTTTCAGGCTCCTGGTCCCCGGGGCACTTACCAGATTGGCGCCTTCCCAGATTCCACCAGTTCGCACCCCGCGAGCCTGGGTCAAAGAGCGGTCCGGGGGCCAAGCTGCGAAGCCCAGGATGTTCAGGACCTGAAATCACCAGGGCACTCGCACCTCCTTATCACCGCCGAGCCCCACCAGCTGCCCCAAGGCTGCTTTCACCGGAGGCAACAGCCTGCTCGTGTGAGTCATTTCCCGGTCAGGGAACCAAAATGTTAAGGAAAAGACTACTTGGCCTGGGAGTTTACGAAGTGGGGTTTATTCATGCATGCAGACCCAGAGGAGATAAAAATCCAAATTCTGGGCAATGAGCTTAAGCTGGAGGCTTCTTTATATGCTTGTTACACAGGCAGAAGGAGGAGGGGAAGGAGTGCAACTGTTACAACAGGGGTTAGTGTATGACCCTGAGATAACTGCTTATCTGGGAAAGGCTGCTGGTCAGCTCCTACCTAAGAATGGCTACTGCTCAGCTATGTCCTGTCACAGAAGGAATGGTAACTTTTTGATTGTTGCTTTTCCTGCCTTTGGGGGAGAAGTTTCAAAAGTACCCTTAAGAATTTTCACAGGAGGGGAGAATATCTTACATGACTTTCTCAAGGTTCCTTTGAATTTTAATTTGAATATGATCATTTAAAATGATAGAACTAGATGCAGAGTGCTATAAAAGTTACTGATTAAACTGAAGAAAGCTATGTTAGAGCTAGGGTCATTTGAAAGTTTCAGCCTCAGAACCCGACCTTTGCTCAGCAGACTCCAGATAAAAATAGGCATGAATAAAATGACTAAGAGTGTAATAGGAAAGAATAGTTTGCCTGCCCATCTCCAAGCCATAGGGTCATCTAGCTATGGCTAGATTTCAGAGAAATCAGGGTAAGTGAGTCCCAAAAGAAAGTTCCCCCCAGAATTCCTAAAGAGTTAACCTACAATTATTGGGCTTGAGTTTCCTGGGCTATTAGTTTCTGAAGTAACTGCACAGTAATTTTTATTTTTCAGGACTTCTAGAAAAGTCTAATGCCTGGGACAGAGGAGGCTGACACTGGGAAAGGGCCTGGGAAGTTGAGGTTCCATGTGTCCCCTTTATATTCTTTGAGGGTGGGGAATTTTACCAGAGTCTGGGCATAAAAGAAAGCCAGGTACTGCCACCACCGTCCCCTGACAAAGCAGAACTAAAGAGAAATGGTCCAGTGTTTCCCCTATGTCACCAGGGCAGCGGTGGACTTACACCACTGTGAGACTATAAAGATTGTGATTGGGTTTTCCTGTGGACCCAGTCAGGAAACAGGGGCTAAGAAATGTTTATTCTTTCCATCAGCTCACCATCAGCATGTCCTCAGTAATTATGTTCTAAATGGAAGGAAGGATAATGTGCTGAATATAAATCACATGGCGCACAATCTCGCCTCTGTAACTTGGTTCAAGGGTTTCTCTTGAGTACTAGGAGTACTAGGATAAAAGTTTAAGTTTACTTCAGGTGTCTATTCTGCCTCTACCTTTCAGGCTTAGTTCAAATACCTCCTCTTCTGAGGCAGCCCCATCTAAATTTATCCCTTGCTCCTTGAGTCTCCTGTGGCACTTGGGTGAAGCCTCATTGCAGCATCACCCTCCCCAATAGTGACAGACATTACATTATATCATAAATAGCCTTGGGATCAAGAGCATGGGATTGGGAATCAGAGAGGCCCAGGTGTGAATCCTGAATTCCCACCTCCTCCTAGCTCTGGGATGATGGCAACATGCTTTGTTCTCTGAACTTTGATTTCCTCATCTATTGAATGTGGAAAATACTGCTGACTTCAGACAGTTCGTCAGAAAACAAGGAGTCAATAAATGGTAGTAATAATAATTATTATGGAAGGCAGACACTGTGTTTTACCCACTTTTGCTTTCTAACTGTGCCCAATTCAGCGCTTTACACATAAGAAGAGCTTGCTAAATGTTTAAAATAATTGAAAAACCTATGAATAAGTTAAGAAGTGACAGTTTCACCAAACTGCCTCCTGATACGGCCCAAGGAATGAAATATTTATAGTTGAACTACTGAATAGAAGACTAAGATTGAGGTCTTGTCTGTATCTTTTTTTCCAATATGCTAGTGTGCACATAACATAAAATTTACCATTTTAACCATTTTTCATCTTTATATGCAAGAAGCATACAGATATTTATTGTGCCTGGAATCAGAAATTCTCTAAATCTTTGTCCAAAACCTACCTTTAGGATTTAAAAAATATATGTATTATTTTGTATTTAGGGACCTTGTTATATCCATTTTCTCTTTATTATTTTTAAATTTAAATCACTTTTATTTTAATTACATTTGACATACAATATTATATTAGTTTCTAGTGTTCACCCCAGTGATTAGACATTACATAACTAAGTGATTATCCTGATAAATCTTATACCCATCTGACACCATACATAGTTATTAGAATATTATTGACTATATTTCCTATGCTATATTTTACATCCTAATGATTATTCTGTAACAACCAATCTGTACTTCTTAATCCCTTCACCTTTTTCACCCATCCCTCCAACCCCCATTCCATCTGGCAACCATCAAAATATTCTCTGTATCTAGCTATGAGTCTGTTTCTGTTCTGTTTGTTCATTTATTTCATTTGTTTAGATTCAGTTATTGATAAATATGTATTTATTGCCATTTAATATTTTCTTCCTCTTCCTCTTCCTCTTCTCCCCCTCCCCTCCCCCTCCCCCTTCTTCTCCTTCTTCTTCTAGAGGGCTCTTTAGCATTTAGTGTGAACTACTTTAGCTTTTTGTCACCTGGGAACCTCTTTATATGTCCTTCAATTCTAAATGATAGCTTTGCTTGGTAGAGTAATCTTGGTTGTAGGTCCTTGCTTTTCATCACTGTGAATATTTCTTGCTAATCCTTTCTGGCCTGCTGCTTTTAAGATTCTCTCTTTGTCTTTAAGCATTGGCATTTTAATTATGATATGTCTTGGTGTGACCTCTTTTGGTTCATCTTGCTTGGGACTCTGTGCTTCTTGGACTTGTGTGTGTACTTCCTTCACCATGTTAGGGAAGATTTATGTCATTTTTTCAAATAGGTTTTCAATTTCTTGCTCTCTCTCTTCTCCTTCTGGCACTCCCATGATGCAAATGTTGGTATGTTGGAAGTTGTCACAGAAGCTCTTTACGCTATCCTCATTTTTTTTGGATTCTTTTTTCTTTTTGTCCTTCTGATTGGGTGTTTTTTCTTTCTTTCTTATATTCCAAAGTGCTGAGCTGATTCTCAGCTTCATCTACTCCACTTTTGATTCCCTATAAACTATTCTTCATTTCATTAAGTAGCCTTCATTTCTGACTATTTCCCTTTTATGATTTCCATGTCCTTTTTTATGCTGTTGAAGTTCTCACTAAATTCCTTGAGCATCCTTATAAAAATTGTTTTGACCTTTGTATCTGGTAGTTTGCTTGCATTCATTTCATTCACTTCCTTTTTTTTTTTTGGAGATTTCTCCTGTTTTTTTTTTTTTTTGTTTGGTACCTGTTTCTTTGTCTCCTTGTTTTGGCAGGCTCCCTGTGTGTGTTTCTATCTATTAGGTAGAGCTTCTATGTCTCCCAGGCTTGGTAGAGTGGCCTTGTGTAGTAGGTATTCTGTAGGGTCTAGTGGCATAGCCTCTCTGATCACCAAAGCTGGACTCCATGTACCCCACCCCCACCCTGTGTGGGCTGTGTATCCTTGCCTGTTGTAGTTGAGTCTTGATTGCTGTTGACATGTAATGGGAGGGTTCTACCAATTTCATGGATTTAAGTGCATTTACATTGTTGTGCAACCCTCACCACTAGGGTTTGTCTTTCTTAAGCACTGAAGTTCTCTGGATGATGCCTAGGATACAGAAATGGCACTTTAACACATTTGCTAATTAAACATCATAATTTTTACTTTTATTCAGAGATAAAATATCTTTCTAAGATTCTATATTTCTTCCCAGACTTAGCACATTTGAATTAGCTGAAATGCAGTGCAGTGACTTACAGCCAAACTTACTGGTTTAAGTTTTGGCTTTCTTACTAGCCTCATTTTGTGATCTTGAAAAATTACCTAACCTTTCTGTGTCTTAGTTATCATGTCTTAAAAGGGAGGTCATGGCCCTGGCCAGGCAACTCAGTTGGTTGGGCCATCATCCCATGCACTGAAAGATTCCTGGACAGGGTACATACCTAGGTTGCAGATTCATTCTCAACATGCATGTGTATGGGAGGCAACCAATTGATGTTTTTCTCTCACATTGATATTTCTCTCTCTTTCTTTCTCCCACCCTTTTTCTCTAAAATCAATAAACATATCCTTGGGCAAGGATTACAAGAAAAGGGGGCCTTGTGATAATATTTACTTTAGAAACTTGGGATGATTAAGTGAATAAAGCATGCTTGGCATCTAGTAATTGTGGTATGTGTTAGGTATTGTTTTTATTCTTAGAAATAACGTCTTTAAAGTCTCTTTCCTGCTGGACTGAGTGCTATGAGGGCAGAGACTTCATTAATTTTGCCCATTGTTAGTTGAGTTCCTTGCACATACTTCAAATTGGGGTATATTTCAGATCCTCCTCCTCTTCTTTTTTGCCTTATTTTTTTTGTTTGTTTATTTGTAGCTGGACTTATTGAGAAAAGATTAAGATGGCTTACTACTATTCATGGGCTTTTGGGTTTTATTTTAAAGCTTAAGTGAATCTGGGAAGGAGGTGGTTAAAAAAAATGACACTTTTCTCTTTGACTGATAGAGGGGAGTGACCAAAAGGAAAGGTCAGAACACAAGTGCCTTCTAGGAGTTCATTTGTAAGAGAACCTGGCTTTACCAGGGAAAGAGGTTCTGAGCTCTACTCTGGGAAAGTTGTGTATAAGCCTTTAGAAGGCGCTGTTTAATCAGGATCATCCTAATGCCAGGGGCGGGAAGGGAAAGGCAGTGATGATGACATCAGCAGGAAATCAATCTCAAGCCTGAGATCCGGTTTTCATCCATAGCCAGCAACAAGTCTTGAGTTTTTCGCCAACGTAAATTGGAACTTTCTTAGAACTTGGAGCACACAGAGGATTCTAGTTTCTTCAAAACTTTGTTCTCAGGCAATATCCCTAAGAACCACTTACTTCCAGGGGATCAGTGGAATTTCATTTGAAGGTATGTAATTAACACCTTTCCCCCCTGGGTTCTTAGACGCCAGCATTTTTCCTTGCTTTATGTCATAGAAACTTGCAGAAACTCTTGTTTTCAGTAATGGTGCTATTTCCTCCTGGATTTATCAGCCTTCCCAGGGAAAATGAAAGTTTAAAAAGTCCCAGGAAGGCTCTGGCATAGCCTTTAGTGGCAGAAATATGCTAATCTGCAAACAAGAGAAGAAGTCTGGCTGAAAGATTTAGGTTTTTCAGAAAACTTCAAGGCAAATATATGATGTATTAAAAAAGGAAGATGTCTCCAAGAAACCAAGACTCTATGGGTGATCACATTAAAATGGGAATTTTTTCTAATAATATAAGTAATATGTGTTCATTGCATAAGATCTGAAAAACTCAGACAGGATCCCAGAAAAAAAATTTATATTTTATGTAATTATACCAGCTAGATATAACCACTCTTTGTTACTGATGTTTTGTTTTTGCTATGTTCTCTTTGCTTTAGAAAGTAGTTTCTTATTTCTAAATAACCAAGTCTTGTACAGTGATCATGTACCTTGTCCTTATATTATGAATAATACTACACTGATTTTTTTTATCAGTTCATTGCTCCTCTTATTAGAATAAAATTCATTGTAGAAAATACCATGATTTATGAACTGGTCATGTGGAAATATTGGTTAATTTGTGACTTTCTACATTGATCTGAGCAACTCTCGTCTAAAACTTCCCTTTATTTCTGGGGTCTCGGATGATGGCTGCTCTTTCTGTGGGTTACAAGCCTGTCCTGTTGGGGTTAACGATGTTACCTCGTTGTCCTTGGGTTGGTAGGCACTTCAGAAATGTAAACCTCCAGATTGTTTTATTTCTAAAATACAGGGCATAAATCTAAGTGCCATTTCTGCCATTTGGTGGGAATGAATTAAGAGCTCCAACCGGGACCCCACCCAGGAGCTGCTGTGCTGAGTTGGCCTCCATTTTGACCAGCTTCTCTGGTGGACATTTCCATTTCAGAGAAGTCACGGTAAATGAGTCCCAAGAAAACCTCCCTCCAGACCTCCTAAGAAGTTAACATACAAGTACTGGAGTCGAGTTTTCTGGGTTATTGGTTTTTTAAGTAACTGCCCAATAACTTTTTATTTCAGTAAGTTTTACTTTTTAGCACTTCTGGGAAAGTCTAATGATGCCTGGAACAGAGGAGGCTGAAACCCGGAGAGGGCCCGGTTAGCTGAGGTGCCTCGTGTTCTCACTCTCTAACACACTACCCCTCTTCTCTGTCTCTTTCAGACTGACCATGTCATTTCAAGGTCAAAATTGCATTCCCAGTTCATTTGCTAATGATAGTGAGAACTTTCGCAGAAGGCTACTGGCTATTGATTCACAGCTGGGAGATAAAGAAGTAGAACAATTAAAGTTTCTCTGCCAAGATTTCATCTCCCAGAAGAAGCTGGAGAAGTCTAGCTCGGCCTTGGATGTTTTTGATCATCTCATGGCAAAGGAGCTGCTGAGTGAGCAAGAACCCTTCTTCCTAGCAGAACTCCTCTACACCATGAAGCAGCACTTACTGCTGAAGCACCTCAATTACAGGAAAGAGCAAGTACGGAGTTTGCTGCCCACTCTAAAGAAGGTCTCTCCGTTCAGGTGAGGAGGGGTCTGTAATCAAGACAAGAGGGTTTTCCATTTTGTGTTCATTCAGGTCATTGGGCTTTGAAAGGAGACTGGGATTTAGATCTCTTCCTTATCTACCTCTTTGGATCTTACAGTGATTTACACTAGGAGATTTCTCAGCTCTAGGTGCTAATAAGAGGAGAGAGAGGTTGGGCCTCTCTGGGCCTCTCAGTGGCTTCCCATAGTTTTGTTTCTCGCTGCCAAGGGACGCTTACTTAAGCACAGCAGGCCTATACTTTTCTCTTTTCCAGTCTCCGATATCCTTTCTTCTGTGAGCCACTGGGTGTGTCTGCCTTCAGTTATTTGAGAAGAATGCAACCTTGGAGCAAAATAAGCAAAGTGAAAACGATGTCTCTAGGGTAGAGAGGGATATCATTTATGCCATGTCCAGTTACATTTTGGGGGAGAAACACAGAGAGCTAAAATATAGACATCAGGCCTATCATGGTCAGACCTTAGACATCTCTTTTAAATTGTCCACTGATGTAGTACCTAAGGAGAACTTTACAAGGAGGAGCCTTCAAAGTGTTATTTTACTTAATTGCCTGGTCAATTATGTCCTTCAGGCTTTAACACTCGGACTGGCTTCCAGAACCTGAGCTACCCTTGGGTCAGTGAGGGGATTCTGGAAATCATTTTTCCCCCCACTTCACTGTTAAACAACTGACTTTTCAGAGATCAAGGAATGGTCTCTGGCATATAGAGGCATTAGTGTATGAATGAAATATTCAGTTTGTCTGGTCATTCATTGTATGGCTATCCATAAGTTGGGGGAATGTCCTTCCTTTTTCAATAGTAGACCCTACATTGCCTGGCATCATTTCTACAGTGGAGTTGCAGGTGAAAGGCCATAATTGTATTTTATGTTTTTCTAGCACTAGACTTGGAATCAGAGAGCCTGTCTCTACTGTTTACTCTATTATCCTAATTTAATAGGTCACACTGAAGCTCAGAGTTTCAGTTTTGGGATCTATAGAGTAGGATTAATAATTGTCTACATACAGGGTTGTGATCATTTACGTGGGAGGGAGCATAAGTAAAAGCACTCAATTTACTGTGCTGCCCTCTGCAAGTGTGAGACTTCATTTGTCTCTTTGGGTGTCTGTCTTAGAAACCTGCTCTACGAACTGTCCGAAAGCATTGACACGGATATCTTAAAGGAAATGAGCTTCATTGTGAAGGAATCATTACCCAAAGTCCAGCTGGTGAGTGGGTCATATAGAATGGGATCTTTGTGAACATTGCCCTAATTGGTGTTTGGGGAGAAGCTGGAAAGGTTTTCAAGATGGTTTGTTTGTTTGTTTTTGCAGGAGGCAGTATCATCCAATGGTTAGGAACATTGACTTTGGTGTCCAATTGGCCTGGGTTCTAGTGCTGGTTCTGTGACCAGCTCCATATGTGATTGGACATTTCTGAGTCTCCATCTTCTCATATGCCACACGATTTCCTTTTAGGACTGTTGGGAGGATTAGAGAAAATACTGTTCATAAAGCATTATCATAAAGCCTATATTTGACACACAGTAGCCATGCAGTAAATGATTAACTGCCACTGGCATCCACCACATTTTATGATACAGAAATAATCAGGGCACAACAAAGACATGAGAAGGTGGGAAATAATGGCAGAGTGGTAATTAGTCGATTGCCATCTACAATAATTGAGATGTCTGAGGAATTATGTGTCCTTTTCAGTGAACTTGGCAGTGTCTCCCATGTAAGGGTTCTGTGAAACTCAAATGAGACAGTTTGAGGATGGACTTTGTAAAGGGCTGTGTAGATGTAATGTTTTTAATATTAACGTAATCATGTTATTTGCTAATATTGTTACTACATTGGTAACATTTGCCAATATTCTTCTTTTAAATTATATTTTATTAATTATGCTATTAAGTTGTCCTGATTTTCCCCCCATGGCCCCGCTCCACCCAGCACTCTCCACTCCCTCAGGCATTCATGCCCACACCATTCATGTCCATGGGTCCTGTGCGTAATAAGTTCTTGGCTACTCCATTTCCTACACTGCACTTTACATCCCAGTGGCTATTCCATAACTACCCATTTGTACTTCTTAATCCCCTCATCTCTTCACCCATACCCCCACACCCACCTCCCATCTGGCAACCATCAAAATGCTCTCCATATCCATGATCCTGTCTCTGTTCTTCTTGTTTGCTTAGTTTGTTTTTAGATTCAATTGTTGATAGATTTGTATATTTTGCCATTTTATTGTTGAAAGTTTTGATATTCTTTTTATTAAATAAGTACCTTTAACATTACATATAATAATGGTTTGGTGATGATGAAATCCTTTAGTTTTTTTTCTTGTTTGGGAAGCTGTTTATCTGCCCTTTGATTCTAAATGATAGCTTTGCTGGGTAGAGCAATCTTGGCTGTAGGTCCCTGCTTTTCATGACTTTGAATACTTCTTGCCAGTTCCTTGTTGCCTGCAAAGTTTCTTTTGAGATCAGCTGACAGTCTTATGGGAACTCTCCTGTAGGTATATAACTGCTTTTTTCTTGCTGCTTCTAAGATTCTCTCCTTGTGTTTAACCTTTGGCATTTTAATTATGATGTGTCTTGGAGTGGGCCTCTTTGCATCCACCTTGTTTGGGACTCTCTGTGCTTCCTGGACTTGCATGTGTATTTCCTTCACCAAATTAGGGAAGTTTTCTTTGATTATTTTTTCAAATAGAGTTGCAATTTCTTGTTCTTTTCTTCTGCTGGCACCACTATGAAGCAAATGTTGGACCTCTTGAACTTGTCCCACAGGCTGTTTACACTATCTTCATTTTTTTGGATTCTCTCTACTTTTTGTTGTTCTGATTGGTTATATTTTGCTTTCTTATGTTCCACATCATTAATATGAATCTCAGCTTCATCCACTCTACTGTTGTTTCCCTGTAAATTGTTCTTTGTTTCAATGAGTGAATCCTTCATTTCTAACTGGGTCTGTTCTAAGCATTTAGGTCCTCTCTAAGTTCCTTGAGATCCTTATAACCAGTGTTTTGAACTCTGCATCTGATTGATCGCTTATCTCCATTTTGCTTAGTTCTTTTTCTGGAATTTTGATCTCTTCTCTCATTTGGACTGTGTCTCTTTGTCTCCACATTTTGGCAGCCTCCCTTTATTTGTTTCTATGTGTTAGGTAGGGCTGCTTTGACTCCATGTCTTGGTATTGAGGCCTAGTGTAGTACATATCCAGTAGGGTCCAGTGGCACAGCCTTTTCTATTACCCAAGCAAGGTACTTGAGGTGTGCCCTTTGTGTGGGCTGAGTCCACCCTCCTCTTGTAGTTGAGCCTTGGTTTCTGGTGGCAGATCAATGGGAGGGATTCACCCAGGACAGTCAGCTGCAAGGATTGGCTATGATCACTTACCACCAACCTCAGCCCTCTGTGCAAGATCAGCTGTGCAGGGGCAGGGTGGTGGTGCTGTAATGTGGTCTGTAGCTGTCCACTGGGTACACTGGCCCAGGGGTTTCCTGGGTGGTGCAGACCAAGGTCATCCACCACCTGTGTTTTGCCCAGGGCTACTCTTCCTGAGCTATAAAGCAAGCTGAAATGATTGCTACTTGTGTTAAGCTAGGAGATTCTCAAGTGAAACCAAGTTTTTAATCTAGGCTAGCTGCTGCTAGTGCTGGGCCTGGGGCTCACTGAGGCCAGCTGATACTTGTTTGATAGGATTTAGGAAGTTGTGAATCATGAGCCAAGACCAGCCATTCATGTGGAAAAGCAACATGGGTGGGCCTGTAAGCTGGGTGGGGAAGAGTCTCTGGGGATCTCCAAGGCAGACAGTGTGAGCCAGGTTGATGGCAAAATTTGCCAGGTCTGTGTGTGTGTGTGTGTGTGTGTGTGTGTGTGTGTGTGTGGGGAGGGTGCTTAAAAAAGAGACAATGGCCTCTGTTTGCCTTGATGCCAGACAATTCAGTTTTTCTGTGTGCCACTGGTGTCTTTCAAGTGCCACCGTATTGCTGGAGCTCAGAAGGAGTAAATTTGAACAGGTGATTTCATGTGTCAGTTCTTTAAGAGGAACTGCTTGGGGCTCCAGAGGTTCTTCCACCAATTCAATCCCTGCTGGGTTTTGCATCCAGAAGTTGTAGGGACTTACCTTCCTGGCACTGGAACCCTAGGCTTGGGAGTCTGGTGTGGGGCTGGGACTCCTTGTTTCTGAGATATCCCTCCCAAATTTTTATCCACCACATGTGGGTGAGGGACCAGTCCTTCCATGTCTGTGCCCCTACTACCTGTCTGGATGGATGTGCTTTCTTTAATTCCATAGTTGTCACACTTCCATTCAACTTGATTTCTGATGGCTATGAGTGATGGTTTTTCTATGTTTTAGTTGTAATTTTGATGTGGTTGTGTGAAGAGGCAAGCCATATCTTCCTACACTGCCATCTTGACTGGAAGCTGCTACTATTTTTGCTATACTGGCAGGAAAGTAGCTGTATGTCTCTCTTCCAGGCCTCAAAACTTTATATACCATATATATTTTTATTTTGACTTCAATAGCAGCTTGTGACAAGCAAGTTAGTTAATTTCAGAAATACCAGTTTTCAAACTTTACCCTGTAACATGACTTTCATTGTGTTATTCAACCACTATTTTTATTAGATTCTCAGTTATATAAGGTTTTATAACAAAAAATACATGTAACATATGGAAGTTATAAAATGTAGCATTAAGTGAACAGCCATAAATTCCTCCATCCAACTTATGAATGAGAACCTCACTGATGCTCTTGAGCCTACATGTGTAGTTCTCCTTCCTATATCACATTCTCTCCAGTCAACTTATATTGACAACTCCCCCCCCCACCCATCATAACTAAGGAATGGGAAACTGCTTTACATGTGGTAGTTCAAATGAAGACCATGTTAGTAATTCATTAAACATGTTTCTTGGTGTCAGATCTGTAAACCTAAAAAAGTTATTTCTCTGTTTTTGGCCACACTCTTTGAGACCTTATCTTCCCCCTTTTAGAACCCTCAGGGATTTTAGCCTTTTGTACCCTTTGATTGGTCATCTCTAGAGGTCCCTTCCTCCCAAAGATTGGTTGTGAGTTCCTTGGGGGTGGGCACTGAGTCTACTCATTATTATAGCCCCAGAATCTTGCAGAATCTGTTACAAATGATACTGTGAATAAAAGCATGAAAGAGAGGGATGATACAATCTACTTCTTTCTATTTCTTTCTGGAAATAAAAAGGTCCAAACACTTTCTGAGTATGTGATTTTACAATAAATAACTAGGGGAATAGCAGGATGAACTAAACCACCACAATGGGGATGTGAAAAGATATAACATTCTCATCGTTGTTGCCTTTTGTCAGAATCTATTAATTTTCTTCCTTAGATAGCTCCTAGAAGTTTTCATATCCTCCTGTTATTTTTTTTTACACTTTTTCCTTTTCTTTTTGTGTATTTTTTTTATTCTTGAAAGAAAGCACCAAAATATAGTACAGAAGATGACACACAAAAAAACATACAGCCAAATGAATTATTATAAGGCTAATACCCTTGAAATCACTACTCAGGTCAAGAAATTGAATTTTATCAGTCATTTCAGAAACCCCTCCATTTGTCCCATCCCAATCACAGCCCCTTCCCACCCCCTAGAAGTAACCATTGTCCTGGCATTCATAGTAATTAGGTTCTTATGTTTCTTTATGGTTTTATCACTTTCCTGTGCATCTCTAGACCTCAGTTTAGTCTTGAACAGTTTTTTCTTTTGAGTGCCCCTTAATATAGATTAAGGGTTAAACTCCCTTAACCCTTAGTATAGATTAGGTTAAACTCCCCTCCCACAATCCTATCCTTTTGCTTAAAATTTATCTGCTGAAGAATTCTAGGACAATTGGCCCCTACAATTTCCCCTCATCTAGGTTTTGCTGACGTGTGTGCTTGGTGCAGTTCAGCATGCTCTTCTGTCTTCTGCATTTCCTGCAAATTGGCAGCTGAACTCAGAGGCTTCGTCAGACTCAGTTTAGATCCTTTTGGCAAGAACATAGTGGTCTTGTGTTGCAGTCTCTCATTGGGATGTACACAATTCCTGGCTTTTTAAAAAATTATTTTAGCAGCTGTTGATATTTTATATATTGATTCTTTGGGGTTTACAAAATGGGGATTTTTAAGTTCCATAATTTTGTTTCCCCCCTGCCCTTGTCTATTATTTGGTTACCTGGTGATACAGTTTATATATAAATGTT